GCTAATGAAGCCCGGGATTTAAATTCCCCGGGCTTCATTAGCATAAAGCCGGCGCTGCCATTTTTAAAAGCCGGCTTGTTCGAACCCCGTGCCGCGCGGATACACGCGGCACAGGCTAGATAGTTCGAACTACGTAGTTGTTCCGAACTATCTGTACGCCTCGTGGAATGAGGTGTACAGATAGTTCGGAACAACTATGTAGTTCGAACTATCTAGCCCGTGCCGCACGGGCTAGATAGTTCGAACTACGTAGTTGTTCCGAACTATCTGTACGCCTCGTGGAATGAGGTGTACAGATAGTTCGGAACAACTATGTAGTTCGAACTATCTAGCCCGTGCCGCGTGTAGCCGCGCGGCACGGGGTTCGAACAAACCGGCTTTTAAAAATGGCAGAGCCGGCTTTATGCTAATGAAGCCTGGGAAATTCAAATCCCGGGCTTCATTAGCACGTTCGGTATGCATACATTACCCCGCTAGTTCGAACTAGCGGGGTAGTGTAGACATACCCCAGCTTCCATTCTCTGGCTGCCCAACTCTAAAGGAAGCAGTGCAGAAGCAAGGGTGGCATGGAATCGTATTGCTACCCTCACTCTGCAGTGGGTGTTACTTTCCCAGCTGGGCACCCAGCCAACAGCCACAGCTCTCCAGCCACCCCATTCTGAAGAGAGTACAAAAGTAAGGGGGCAATATTGGGAGCATCCTTAAAATCATCCCCCCACTTTTCCCCAGCCATAGCCTGCAGTTCCAGAGGAAGGTCCCTGGCAGTTGGACGGGCTGGGGGACAAGAGAAAAAGCCCCTGGCAGCCAGGGTGTGGCTGGAGGAAGAGAAAAGGCCCCTTGGTGTGGGGGGGCCAGAGAGGAGCAGAGAAGGCCCCCACACTTTGCCCCCACCCAATGAGCACCTAGGCCCAACCCACTCTGAGCCCGTGTGGGTGCAGATGCTGCTGGCAGCATGAGTGTGCATCAGGAGCAGAGTCCTGGCTAAGGAGTTCTGTAAATGTCCCCCAGGTCCTGGACAGAGGCAAGCCAGCCCCAGAATTTGAATTTCCTGGGCTTCATTTGCATGTTGCCGGGCGCCACCATTTTTAAATGTCCGCTAGTGCGGACTCCATGCCCGCGGCTACACGCGGCATGAACTAGATAGTTCGGACTAGGCTTCCTATTCCGAACTATCTGTACACCCATGAAAGCTTATGCTCCTACACTTCAGTTAGTCTATAAGGTGCCACAGGACTCCTCGCTGCTTTTGCAGATTCAGACTAACACGGCTACCCCTCTGATACTTGACATAGAAACATATTTTGCTATTTTCTAGTGTCTGGACCCCTTAGTTCCCAAATGGAAACCACCTCGTAGACTGGGCTGTGAATGTGAACAGCCCCTGTGAATGTGGACAATCACACCCCGATTGGCCCCTTTGTTGCAACTCAGACCGCACCGTGAGCCACTGTAGCTGTGAGTGGGCCTGAGAGAGGATCCATGCAGCCCAGTTTGCGGAGACCTTGCCAGCAGGAGTTGTCTGAGCTTTCCACTTGCCTTCCCAGCTCCAAAGGGGTTTGGCCTGAGCTGCTGGGCTTCTGGCACCTCAACCAGGAAGTGTTTCCGAACCCCCTGGGCCTCAGCTGGGCCTGCAGTTGGCAGGGGTGGTTAGCAAGCCCAGCTTTTGGAGATCACTTGATATCTGCGTAGCTCGGAACAGAATGAGCCAGACTCCCATGTCCTTTTGTGGGGCTTTCTCTGGCTAAACTGCTGCATCGGCCACTGTCAGGAATCAGGTCCCATGGTGCCATAGTCAGTGCTCAGGGCATCTGAGTTCAGCTCTCGGTGGGGCCTGCTGGGGCTGGGTTGTGTTTTAAACTGGACAGTTCAGTATTTGAGCTTTCTGTTCAGGAAACAAATTGAGATAATAAAAATGACCAGTATTTTCTAATCAAGATTTAATGTAGATTGTGATGTAATGTCAAGTGTGCCCGGTATTTTTGTCAAAACCGTCTGGCAACCCTATGGTTTGCTGCAAAGCCCTCACACTCGAAGTGACTTAGCTTCCTTGACCTTAGGTTCACCAGAGAGACTTTTGATGTTGTGCAGGCCGGGACTTTAAGAGGGTTCAAAACAGAGCTAGTTACGTTCGTGGAGGACAGGTCCATCAATAGCTACTAGACAGGATGGGCAGGGAGGGCGTTCCTAACGTCTGTCTGTCACAGGAATGGGCGACAGGGGAGGGAGGGATCACTTGATGGTTCCCTGTTCTGTTCACTCCCTCTGGGGCAGTTGGCACTGGCCACTGTCGGGAGATGGGATTTTGGGCTTGCTGGACCTTTGGTCTGGCCCAGTCTGGCCATTATTCTACTGGACTAGATGGACTCTGTAGTCAAAAGTGTCACACTGATTGACACCACCTGGGGATTAGTTCCTGAGGTAAATGCCTTGGGATTTGGCCCAGGGAAGACTCGTTATTCTGATTATTGAGAGGCAATGCCTGGAGGGGGGAGGGGCACACAGGGTCATGTGCCCCTCAGATTTCTGCTCCACCGTTTAGCACAAACATTTGCAAATGGTTTGCACAGAATGAAAACTGTTGCCCCCTGCCAGGAGCCGGGGGATTGGAGGCTGCTAAGGGCCACCCAAATTGTTTGGTTCCCCGGCTCCTCGGGAGTTGGGGCTCTGGCTGGCTGCCTGGTGGCCCTGCTCCCCAAACCCAATGTACTCTTGCCTCTCCCCTGAAGGAGCCTAGTGCTGACCAACAACACCCCCTGGAACTGCCTGTCCCTATGGAGCCCAGCTGCCAGGAGATATTCCCCCAAAGGCTTGCTGCCCTGAGGTTCCTGGCTCTGCTGCTGCTTCTCGGCCTGGGGGTGACACACCGGCCCCTTGCTCAGCAAGAGCTACTGTTGTCTCTGAACTCAGCTGGGTGGATACAAAGTGCTCTGGAGAGTGTCCAAATAGGACTAGAGAAGCCAGCCCCAGGGGCCACGGGCCGTGGGGCTGTGACTTGGCTGAACTCAGCTAGCAGTGCCAGGAATAAACTCATCTCCTGAGGCCTCGCCCAGCCAATGCCATAGGAACATGTTTGCTTGTTTCTTCTCTTTCAGGCTTTTGCTGGCTCATCTGCCTCAAGGAGACTCATTTCTCCAATGCGGGTAAGTTGATGCCTGGAAACCTGGGCAAAATCTCCAGATCTGAACCCCTGTGTGTCCTGCAGCTGAAGGGAATTTTGAACAGGCAAAGAACTTTTCATCCCATTTCCTCCTCCCCTTCCCCTGCATTTTCCTCTTTCTGATTTTCCGTTCCCTTCTGATTCCTTACGTTGTGTCTGCCTACCCCTTCCCCACTTGCTCGGCAGGGGACTAAACAGAGCTGCCTTTTAATTCCATGACCAGCGCCAATTCCTTCTGTGTTTCCCACTGAACAGGTGTGAGGAACCATTGCTAGGACCTGGTAATGCAAGGTGCACCCATTGGGGGCTGTCCCAGGCCTTGTCATACCCCCCCGTCATGTGATTTGGATATTAGATACGAAAGGAGCCAGCAAACACGAAAGATAAACTCTATCCCTAACTTTATTATGCACAGAATCGTAAAGTAAAGCAACGCAAAGTTACACAGATCTTATTTCAATGAATGGGAGATGTAGCACAGACAACATAATAACAGCTACACCTACCACAAAACACAAGATATTCAATTTTAAGGATATGGATATACATTTACTTATTTCTATAAATCACACACAGTTCCACCGCTAAGACCGTACCGATTGTTAGATGGGAGGTCGTGACCTCTTTGTTTCCCCTTGTGCAGAGGTGTCCACAATGCATCGGTCGGTAGGAACAGACACAGCTTCTAGTTGCAGCAAGTAAGGTGTTGGGGACCTCTCTCGCTGATTATCTTTTCTACACCTATATTTATACTTGACCTGGTCATTCTGGTAATATCTACCAATTAATTACGTATTGCATAAAATGCCTATTATGCAAATATTTGGCTTACATCTTGCTATTCAGACCATACTATACTTGGTTGACAGTTCTATGGCTCAGGAGCTTCAGGGGATAGCCAAGTTAGTCTGTTACCGAAAAAAAACAACAAATGGTCTGGTAGCACTTTATAGACTAACAAAACAAGTAGATGGTATCATGAGCTTTCGTGTGCACAGCCCAATTCTTCAGATGACCAGAGTTATGAGTTTGGGATATTTAAACGTAAGCAGATAAAAAATCAAAGTCAATAGATAGATTCCTAAGACAGGAAGGATACCACTCAGAGAGCTGTTAGCACCTTCAGTGGTTATTAAATTGGTAGTGTCCTAGCCAGCCCATATCACGACTGAGTCCATTAGCATGTGAATTAAATTTGCGGATGATGACAATGGATTTCAGGAAGGCGGATTTTGGTAAACTCAGAGAGCTGATAGGTAAAGTCCCATGGGAATTGAGACTGAGAGGAAAAACAACTGAGGAGAATTGGCAGTTTTTCAAAGGGACATTGTTAAGGGCCCAAAAGCAAGCTATTCCAATGTGTCGGAAAGATAGAAAATATAGCAAAAGACTGCCTTGGCTTAACCACGAGATCTTGAATGATCTAAAAATAAAAAAGGAGTCATATAAAAAATGGAAAGTAGGACAAATTACAAAGGATGAATATAGGCAAACAACACAGGAATGCAGGGGCAAGATTAGAAAGGCAAAGGTACAGAATGAGCTCAAACTAGCTACGGGAATAAAGGGAAACAAGAAGACGTTTTATAAATACATTAGAAGCAAGAGGAAGACCAAGGAGAGGGTAGGCCCACTGGTCAGTGAGGAGGGAGAAACAGTAACAGGAAACTTAGAAATGGCAGAGATGCTCAATGACTTCTTTGTTTCGGACTTCACCGAGAAGTCTGTAGGAACGCCTAACATAGTGAATGCTAGTGGGAAGGGGGTAGTTTTAGAAGGTAAAATAAAAAAAGAACAAGTTAAAAATCACCTAGAAAAGTTAGATGCCTGCAATTCATCAGGGCCTGATGAAATGCATCCTAGAATACTCAAGGAGCTGATTGAGGAGGTATCTGAGCCTCTAGCTATCATCTTTGGAAAATCATGAGAGACAGGAGAGATTCCAGAGGACTGGAAAAGGGCAAATATAGTGCCCATATGTAAAAAGGGAAATAAGAACAACCCAGGAAACTACAGACCAGTTATGAATTCGCCAGTATAGATATATGGGCAGAGTTGGCATCTTTTTAGGTTGCAAGGCTGGGTTCCTGGAGGCTTATGATGTGGTTGTGTGGCATGGTATTCTTTCTGATGGGGGCTGTCCAGGCTCTCCTACACTCCCCAGTATTCCTCCATGCCCTCATGGGGGGTGTGATGGGGTGTGTCCCATAGTTTGGAAGCCACTGTCCTAAAGGTTGCAGGTCAAGCACTCCAAAGTTAGGAAATGTCAGAATCCAAGAGTCTCTGCCCCCGTGTGCATTATGTCCCAGACTTCCCTTATGTGATCACAGCCTATTTTTGTCACTGGTCTCCTGCCTCTCTAAGTGCACAGGTTAGATCTGCACTGGTCATAATCAGGGCTGGGTAGTGAGGGAGGTTGTTACCCGTATGTGCTGCAGGAGAACGAGGCAGGGGCTTTCTGAAAGAGAAAGGATGGTCCTCTGGTTGAGGCACCTGAGGGCTGCTCTGAGGAACTGAAGTCTCTCTTCCTCTGCCACTGATTTCTGGTCTGATGCTGGGCAAGTCACTTATCCCGGTTTTTAAGGTATGGCTGCTTATCTTCTAGGCCCTCACTTGAACCCATGGGGTCTGATTTACAGAGGTGCTAAGTGCTCCCAGCTGCTAGTGAGGTCAGCAGGAGCTGTGCTTGGCTGCAGAAAGTGAAGGACTCTGACAAAGCAGGTCCTGGAGGTCTCCAACAGAAATGGGGTACCCAAATTACTGCTTTGGACCACGTGCCTCAGTTCCCCATCTGGAAAATGGGCATAAAAGCCCCTTTATGCACAGTAGTATCGGAGCCAGTTCATAGGATCAGCACCCTCAGCACCTGCCCCCTGTTCTGACTCTCTCCACCTCTGCCTTTTCCATTCAGCGCCCATCCTCTGTTCCTCCCCTCCCCGCTGGCTTCTCCTCTCCAGCTGCAGGGGAGGGGCCTGCAGAGCTTTTCTGGCTTCTTCATCTGATGCCTCCAGAAGAGGGTCCAGTTGCCTTGATCTGACCTCCCCAGCCACCTCTTCTCCTAGGTCCTCACTTGGAGCGGGTGGGTAGGGCCAAAGAACGAGTATGAAGCCCATTGAAGATGTGCAAGAGGGTGAAGGTGCAATGAGGAATTAATTGTTTGATTTTAATTAAATCCTTCCTCCTTCATTTTCCAACCAATGCCCTATGTATGCAATCTGTGAAGTCATCCCTAGGGGCCACCACTGCACCTGCAAACAGGGGTCCGTGTCTAGCACTCGGGAGCAGTATTTCACTGATAAAAGTGTGATGTGCCAGGGTGAGTGTGAGCTCCTGAGTCCAGCTCGGGGAGGGGAGCTATGTAACAGGGTGACTGTTTTGTTGCTGGCATTAGTGTCCCAGGAGGGGTCTTCCACTTGGTCTGTATCGAGGATGTCGCTGACTGGAAAGCAGGATGTAGGGATGAAGAGCGAGGAAGGAATAGATGTGGCCAAGCAGATTTAGTGACTCGGCTTCCTCCACCAGTCAATCTGTTCCTCTCTGACCAGGGGACAGCCAATAAAGTGAAAAAGCTGCAGTGCAGTCTGCACACAGCCCTGGGGTTTGGCATGATGGCCCGGAGAATTCCTCCCCTAAGCATCTCAGATTCTGTTCTACAGGGCACGCTGTGTCCTTCCCTCCTCTAAGTGGCCAGACAGCACCATTAGCAAGTGCAGAGGGGAGGAGCATACTGTGGCCCTGCCTCTGTCCCACTTATTTTTGGGACATGATGATCCACCAAGAAGAATAGGGAGAAAAGTGTGACCTCCAAAGGAGAGGCAAGAGGAGTACCTTGTGGGTTCCCTCTTCCTCTGCATCCATGTCAGGGCCAGCCACAGTCCAGCCCCTAAAATGGGGAAAAGGAATTTTTTTAACCTGAAGCAACATTAACCTGTGGAACTCCTGGCCACAGGATGTTACACAGGTTGCAAATTGATCAGATGTTGAAGTAGGATAACACTTTGATATAAATAGCAAGAACATCTGACATGATCTTCTGAAGTGTCTAGTGCCAGCCACTGATGAAAGCAGATTTAGGGTACAGGGTCACTGGTCTGATCCAATCTGGCCATCCGTGTGTTCCTAAATGACAGATGTTTTCAGGCCAGAATGGCAAATGTCCCATTCATGATTTTTATACACTAACCCATGATCAACGGTGTTTATTAGCTGGCTCCAAATGTAACAGGCACTGTCTTGGCTGATGGACAAACAGGGGATCTCTACAGCAGAAAACAGTGATGGGCAACCCAGGATAGTGAGTGGGCTGCACAAGTGACCCGCCTTCATCTCAGAGGGCCAGAACAGCCTGAGGCCCCTTAGGGTTCCTCCTGTGGCCTGGGTCCTCTTGTGCCCCTCCCCCGTGCACCTTCCCCACACTGGAGCCTTGCAATTACCTACTCTTCTCCCACCCTCCCACAGCTGGAATGCCTCAAATAGCTGATGCCCATGTTCCAGCTGAGGGAGGGAGGGGTTGGAGGGGGTACAGAGGGCATATCGGGTGATCTGTAGAACTCCTCTAAAAGTGCTGGGAGGGAGGGGAAGGAATAAGAAGTATGGGGCCTCGGTGTCCCAGTGCGAGAGAGGTGTACGGGGAATGGAGGAAGTCAGGGAGTCCTCAGGGCACAGGTTGCCCATCACTGGTGGAAAGCGTGAGCACTCTTGCACACTGGCTCATAGGGGAACCTGTAATTCACACCCACTGGGGGTAACAAAAGCACTTTCCTGGGCCACTGAATGACTCTGGTTCTGTATGCTCCTGTCTAGATAAAAATGAATGCCAGCTGCAAGCCCTGCCCTGTGGCCCGAACGCCATGTGCTTTGATACGGCCGTACATTTTTCCTGTATCTGTCTACCTGGCTACAACTCTTCTAGAGGAAACGCCTTTCTGCCCAGCAGCGTCGCCCCTCTGAACTGCTCAGGTGAGAGCCAGTGGGAAGCTGAAGGTGTTCTCCCAGCAGGGTCTCTCCTGCCCCCAGACAGTCATGGAGGGACTCCCGGTGCACACCAGCACCTCAGCCCAGCTCTGTGTCCTGTGCTCTCCTGGGCCTGGTGAGAGCCAGCACCCCTGGGACCACGGCCGTCTCCACGGAGCCTTTACTCTCAGGGATGCCAATGGCTGGGCACCAAAGCCCTTTGCTGCTTATTGCCCCGTGCTCAACACATGCTGGGCTGGCTTGTGCAGGGCCAGATCCTTACCCAGGATGATCTATTGACTCCCCTGAAACAACAGCGATTTGCCATCAGCCGGGCTGGGACCGAGGCTTTGCCCTGCTCTGACACACTGGGCTGGGGCTGGCGCAGGGCTGGGGAGGGGGACGCAAGTAATGAACTAAAGCTTGTGACGGACACGGGAGATGCGGGTGACAGGGTGCACCAGGTGCATCAGTGGGGCCATGAGGATGGAGACCCATGGCAGAGACGTGCTGAGGGACAGCTGAGCAGCCTCCGCTCCCATCGTTTACAGGGGAGGGGCAGGTGCCCTGCCTCTGAGCACGTGGCCCTACAATAATGGGCAAGGAGATCTGGGAGAGAAATTGTCTCCAGGTCACAACGGGGGAAACTGAGGCTTCAGGTGGGGAAGTGACTTGACCAAAGTCACACAGGACCCCCAACTCCCCTCTGCTTGCAGAACTAGCCCCGACTCCTCTCCTGAAGCTCAGGATCGAACCCAGGAGTCCTGCCTGTGTAACACTCACCTAGGACCAGTGCACCACCTTCCTGCCTGTGGCAGGGTGTCTAGCCCCGCGCCATCCAGCCCTGTGGCCGAGTCTCTTAAAACAGGCCCTGCGGCCTAGTCTCTCCCCAGCAGGCCCAGAGGCCTAATCTTTCAGGATCTGTCCTCTAGTCCAGAATCTGGGAAAGAGGGTTAGGGGGGCCCAGGTCCTCACTCTCCACCAGACCCCAGCCTAGGGCCCTATCAGTGGTGGGTGGTTCCCACCACTGGCTCGGCGGGGAGTTTTCCCCGAAACGCGCTGAGCCCACCGGACCTATTCCTGCTCCCTGCCTTGGGAAGCTTCCTACCCCATCTCCCTGTGCGGCGTTGATCCCACCTGGGAATGCAGGTCCAGCTGTGGCAGCGGCGTGTCTGGTGCAACAGTGTTGTCAGATTTGGGGTTGACAGCTGGCATGGTGGAAGCTGGGCGGTGACAGCGGGTAGGGAAGCTGCAAGCCATGGGCAGCAGCAATCAATGGGGTGTCCATAGCTGCTGGGCCTGCGGCAGTGGTCGCTGCTCCAATGTTTGGGCAGGATCTCATTCCCCTCCGGAGGTCTGTCCCAGTGTTTCTATATTGTGTTGCCAACTTTTCCCAGGCCAGTGCTAAAAATTTCCCAAATCTGATGAAAAATTCCCAGATTATTTTGTATATGTTATAAAGGCTATTTTATGTATAGTTAATTCATTGGTTTTATTACTTTTATTTTGATATATATATAATTATTAACTCAAAATATATGACAATAATTTTGATGATTACATGATGCACCCTATAATTAAAAATATAATTTTATTAAAGCTGAGCTTTTCAGCCAAAAATACTTATTTGTTATACAACTCAAAATATACGACAATAATTTGATGAATTTATGATGCTCTCTATAATTAAAAATATAATTTTATTAAAGCTGAACTTTTCATCCAAAAATAATTATTTTTTATATATCCAAATATCTTTAATTACTTCATGGATGGTTTTTCATAAAATGAAAGAATAATAAAACATTTTAATTATTTTACTCCTGCAAGATAAAATCAGTACAGTATACACTTCAGTATACATTTCAGTTATATATGATACATAAAGGAACTCGTCAAATATAAAACATTTTCGTTTCATATAAAATGAATAGAATATTTAATACATAATACTTAACTATCACGATGAGTTTTACTAATCAGATGAGTCACGACTTGACTCCTCACTAGAAATGTCATCACCATCATTGCTATTTTTATCAGTCTGACCGCCAGTTTTTCTGGCATATCCATATTCATACATATTTTTATTATGTAAACTTAAGTGCTTCTTTGTAATTACAAAACTAGAATCTTTCTTTTTTTTTCTTTTTTTTTCATAAAAGCTGATCTGATTATTACACTAGAATTAAGAGGTTTAGTTTTCATGTTACTCCTTTTCTTAGTTTTAATGTCTGTAACCATTCAAAGCATCCGTGCCAATCTAGACACGATTTTGCCATTTTCGCCATCAGGGCTTTTTTGCACAAAACACTTTTTAGCTGTCTACACTGGCACTCTTGCGCAAATACATTTGCGCAAGAGGGCTTTTTCCCAAACGGGAGCAGCATAGTATTTGCGCAAGAACACTGACAATCTTACATTAGATCGTCAGTGTTCTTGCGCAAATTCAAACTGCCGGTGTAGACAGCTGGCAAGTTTTTCCGCAAAAGTGGCTGTTTTTGTGGAAAAACTTGCCAGTCTAGACGCAGCCTGTGTGCTGGATAGTTAGTGATATTTTTTATAAACTGCTCTACGAAATCAGGCAAAACTGTAGAGGCTGAACTTCTTCAGGGCTGATGGCAAATACATCTCAGCAAAACAACATTTGGAACATCCTCTCTAAGTTTAGAGAAAAAGGAATTCTTTGCTCCTATCATCAAATTTGCACCATCACAAGCAACACCCAAAATATTATTCAATGGGATTTTTTTTGAACATTGACTCCTTGAATTTAGTATAAATGCCTTTCGCTGTACAATTTTTAGCATCAAGTTCAATGAGGTCTAATAATTGACTGGCAAGACCAATTGAGAGCAGTTTTTGATAAATCTGAATCGTCTGCAAATTTTTATTCCAAAGGAATGATAAAATGAACAGAAATTTTAATTTCATCGAAAATTTCCCAGGATTTAACAGTTTTTCAAGAAAATTCCCAATTTCCCATTTTGACATTTTATTCAAAAATTCCCAGAATTTGGGAAATTTCCCAGGATATAGAAACACTGGTCTGCCCCCGACTGAGCTGTTTTCCTGGCCTTTATACCTGGCCCGCAGTTGGTGCATGCCCAGCACTGCTGAGGGGACGAGGCCTTCCCAGCCCAGCGAGACAGTTTGCTCTCCCCTTGGCCAGTGCAGGGTTGGGCTGCCCCCTCACACTACCCCACAGCCAGCAATAGAGCCAAGGTGTCCTCACTCTCCCTCTTCCCTCCCCTGACTCCTCCCTACGGCAGCTCCCAAGCCTCACTCTCCTCACAGAGCTGAGAAGGGAACTCAGGCTCAGGCCACTAGCACGGCTGCCTCTTGGGGATGGGCAGCAGATTGCAAACCTTCAGGGAGCCATATTCCTGGCATGGTGCCCTCTGATGCCAGCTGTTGGTGCTGCCTTCTCCCCCCGCCCCACCTCTGCCCATCGAGAGAAGGCTCTGTTGTGCAGAGTGAGCCCATCGGCATTCAGCGGAGTGCCCTGAGTGCCAGGGGGCCACTGCTGCCCCATGCAAGCCCAGCTTTGCATCCAGTTCTGAGGAGCAGTGCATCACTGACCCAGCAGTGCAGCGCAATGGTGAGAGCCGGTTCAGGAATGAGGCAGAGTGAAGGATGGAAAAGGCCAGTGGAGTTAATGGAAAGATTCCCACTGGATCCAATGGGGTTTGGGTCAGTGTGAGGGGCCTAAGGCAGTAGAACACTGGTATCCTAGCTTCATACATGGCCGGCCTGGATTCTTCCCTGTCCAGATATTGATGAATGTTCCCAAGACCCATCGCCCTGTGGTCCCTACTCCATCTGCAACAACACACCGGGCAGTTACACCTGCAGGTGCCGAGCAATGCACCAACACCCCGGGCAGTTACATCTGCAGGTGCCGAGCAGGCTACTTCCCGCCCAGCCCGTCTGATGTCCGTTTCAGCTGCACAGGTAAGTGTCTGATATGGGGGACATGTGTGGGGCTCTGGGTGTGAGAGGCCAATGCCTGCTAAGTCATGAGCTAGGTACTGAGCAACTCTGCCAACCCACCCCAGATTTTGACTCTCCAAAGCCCAGACATCTGCAGAGTTTTCATGAGGATGGTAACGGGGTCCCCTTCTCACCCAGTCTGATTAGATACAGGATGAGCTGCCATGCATCTCCCTTCCTCTGGCCCTCTGCTGCTGAAAACCCACAACCCCCTTGGCCACGGAGGCTCGAGTCCGCTGATGGAGCCGCATTCCCTGCCTTCAATCAGGGCAGGTGCTGGACTGGCGTCATTAGGCTGTGACTTCCTGGGCCAGGGGCCAGCATGGCCTCCTGGTGCCTGTGTGTTACACCCTATGGGCAGGAATCAAACCCGGGTCCTTAGGGCCTGGCATTGTGACAGTTGTGACATAGTTTAAATGAAAAGTTTGGGCTTTTTGCTTCGCAATGAAGTTTCATTGGGAAATCTAGCTACGTTTAGATTTTGTTTTAAAAAACCAACCAAATGCAAAGCAGCCACAACTGAAAAGAAATGGGAAATCGTAACCTCAGATTGGATCGAAGGCTCGGTCCCACATTAACTATTCTTTTTCGAGGAGTGTCCCCATGGGTGCTCCACCCTAGGTGTTTGGGTGCCCCTGTGCTGATAGTCGGATATTTTTAGCTGCAGTACTCTGGGTGCTGACATGCACTTGCAGTGCCATCACGCACCGTAGCGAGCATGCCGAGATGTGCATGTTGTCAAGCAGCCCTCAGTTCCTTCTCAACTGCCTCACGCTTTGGTTGGAACCCAGCAGCGCTCTCCTGTTCACTTGTTCAGATCAGATTGTTTACTAGTCTAATTTACTCTAAATAGCCTTTTCTTTAGATTTATTTGGGTGCTCCTCTCTTATTTCCCTTTTTTTCCCCTTAAAAAACCCCACTTTTTCTTTCTAACCCTTTCTCCTGCCTTAACCTTTCCCTTTAGTTAGAGTTAGAATCATGCCAAGCTCCCCAGGTGTTAAAAGATGTCAGACTAGCAAGCTGTCTGTCCCTGTTTCAGATGGACATACACAGTGCATTCGGTGCTTGGGGAAGGATCACTTCCCCCAAAAGTGTCACCATTGCAAAAAGCTCTCCTCCAGGTCTCTTACAGCGAGAGAGCTGCAACTCAAACTGCTCATTATGGAGAATAGGGTGAGACCAGTTTCTGAACCAGAGTCCCAGGGAATTCCACCGCAAACATCTCCTACAGCAGTTGCTGACAAGAGAAGAGCTGTGTCTCCTTAAAACATCCCAGCAAAGAAGACAGCCAAGAGGATAGCAGTTGCTGACAAGAGAAAAGCCGTGTCTCCTTAAGACATCCCAGCAAAGAAGACAGCCAAGAGGAAGCACACATCATCCCCAAGTGCCAAAGGCTGACTAAAAAGGTGTCCTCACAACAAAAGCCATCCTCAGAACCAAAAACATTGACTTTGGGGAATCAGCAGGTTATGGGCATGCCCGGTATGGAAAAGTCCCAAGGGTCAGTTTCAGCTAAGGAAGCATATCCCCTGGACTCCTCTGCTAAGCCTAAAAAGACTCCTCCTACACTGTCAGTACTGAAACCAGTACAGCAGACTGATATTGCAGGCCATCTGGACACATTGGTACAGATCCTGTCAAAGATGGCACTAATATCTCACCCCGAGATGTCCTCAGTATGGCTGGCAGCATGCGCAGACAATGCCTCCATACCAGCACCAGTGCACACAGACCATGCTGGCATCCTCAGTATCGGTGTTCCCAGTACCACGTTCTTTGACTTTGCATGAAGACCTGGCGGTGACCTCAGTACCAGGAACCCCTCTCTTCAGCACCGATGCCGCTGTGATGCTGGAGGGACTGAGCAGGCTTGCCTCCCTGTCCAGCTCTGCTCCCCCTTTCTCAAGTGAGGATGAGGACGACAATGAAGAGAGCTCCTCTCCATGCCACTCTTCACCCAAGCCATCCTCAAAACTCCAACAGCAACAGAGCCAAGGGCAGATGTGGCAGCCTTTTCCCTAGTTCCCTCCTATCCCTTTCCCTCCACTGTGGGCCCCCTTCAGAGCCCAGATGGCAGCACCTCAGGCCTCACCACAACAGAAATCACAATCAGTGGCTCCAAGACCCCCAGTGTCAACGAGATCTGACACCACTCAGGAGGAGAGAGACGACTTCGAGGAGACCCAGGAGAATAACACTCTTCCCCCAATTCCTCTGACTTCGTCCTCCCCCGACAAGTCAATTATGCCCCCACCAGCAACAGCTGTGGATGATTTCAAGTCCCTGTGAGCCAATGGTGACTGGTTCAGTTTTGTCTCTCAGTGGAGGTTGCCTTCCTCATAGCCTTCCCCATGGTGAGAAGAGTTAATGGATCACCACACTCATGGCCGACCCCCCCATTCACAATATTTTACAAGGAAAAGTGGTGCTCAGGCCTCACCCAAAATTTCTCCCCAAAGTGGTTTCTCCATTCCACAGAACATTCCAATGTATTTACCTGTCTTCTACCAAAAGCGTCATCCAGATGCCTCCAGCAGAGGGTCCAGCTGCCTTGATCCGACCTCCCCAGCCACCTCTTCTCCTAGGTCCTCCCTTGTCCATCATGCAATAGCCTTTTACCTAGAACGAACAAAGCAATTTAGACTTTCTCCTAGGCTGTTTCTATTCCTTCCAGATAGTTCCAAAGGTCAAGTCATTTCTAAACAAGGCTTTCTAAATGCCCTCGCTATGTATGCCTCACAACACAATCATTTTGGGTTGGCAGTTCTATCTGCCACTCACACTAAGGGTGTGTCTAGACTACAGAGTTTTTTTGAAAAAAAGTAGCCTTTTTTCAAAAAAAACTTTACCTGTGTCTAGACTGCAGCAGCGTTCTTTCAAAAAGTAAATTGAAAGAACATGGCAATTTTTTCAATCACGGTAAACCTAATTTTACGAGGAATAACACCTTTTTTCAAAAGTACTTTTTAAAAAAAAGGTGTTATTGAATGCAAACTGTGCTTTTTCGAAAGAGAGCATCTAGACTCTCTTTTGAAAAAGCGGCTCGCTTTTTTGAAAAATCTGCTTATAGTCTAGACGCTCTCTTTCAAAAGAGGCTTGTAGTCTAGGTGTAGCCTAAATGTCCAAAGCCTCTCCTTCCAAATTCTCAGGGTACTGCTCCCTAGTCACTTAGGGTATGTCTACGAAAAGGAGGTGACTCACCTTGTGCGGTAACTGGTATTCTTTGAGATGGGTGTCTGAGTGGATCCTCCACAACCCTTCCTTCTCCCCTCTGCTTTGTAGTAAACATCTCTCTGTGGTAGAGAAGAAACTGAGGGACCGTTGATTATATGCGCGTCTTGGCACGCTCGCTATTTCACGAGACAGCACTGTGCATGCATGTTGGCACCTAGGGTACTGCTGCTAAAAATATCTGAGACGCAGGGATGCCAAAACACCTGCAGTTGAACTCCCACAGGGACACCTATCTCGAAGAACACGAGTTACTGCATAAGCTGAGTAACCTCTTTATTGGTGGTTTTGTTTGTCAGAAAAGTCCCAAAAATTCCAGTTGAGTTGCATAGAGACAGTTTCCTCCTGAATTTTTCTTTCTGGTTTGGTCCCTTCTGGAAGGTAAAGGACTTTGGCATAGGTCACATGGAGAGTCTGGGGAAGAGCAAGCCACAGAACCCAGGAGTTCTGACACCCCAGAACACTGCTTTCACCACTAGACTCCAGGTATCATGACTCCTTCTATTCAGGCCACTAACACTGTTGCCTCTTGGGGGTGGGTAGCAGACTGTATACCTGCAGGCAGCCATATTCCTGGCATGGTGCCCCTCTGATGCCAGCTGCTAGTCCTGCCTTCTCCCCCTCCCCATCCTCCACAAAGAGAAGGCTCTGTTGTGCAGAGCCGGGCCCATCTGCATTCAGCGGTGTGTCTTGGGGACATCCCCTGAACCCACGCCCCAGGGGGCCACTATTGCTCCTGCAAGCCGAGCTTTGCATTCAGTTCTGGAAAGCAGCGCATCACTGATTCAGCAGCGCAGTGCAACGGTGAGACCCAGTTCAGGCACGGAGCAGAGTGACGGATGGAAAAGGCCTCTGGGGCTGATGAAAAGATTGCCACTGGATCCAATGGGGTTTGGGACAGTGTGAGGGGCCTGGGGCAGTAGAACACTGGTGTCCTAGAGTCACACATGGCCAGCCTTCATCCTTCCCTGTCCAGATATTGATGAATGTTCCCAAGACCCATCACCCTGCGGCCTCAACTCCATCTGCAACAACACACTGGGCAGTTACACCTGCACGTGCCGGGCAGGCTACCTCTCGCCCAGCCAGCCTGACACCCCCTTCAACTGCACAGGTAAGTGTCTGATGCACGGGGTGGGGCTGGGCTCCGGGTGTGAGGCACTAATGCCTGCTCTCCAGTGGCCCTAAGTGAGAGCAGCTCTGCCTCCCCACTTCCTGTTCCTACTTTCTCCAGAGTCCCAGCAATTTCATGGGAGTCCTTCCCACCCAGCCGGAATAGTTAGAGCAGGGGTCTCCAACCTCTAAGCACAAGATCACTTTTTGAATTTAAGTGCAATCCAGGGTCTACCTCAAACCCAAACACTCTGGGCCCACCTCCTTCCCGCCCCTTCTCCGAGGCCCCGTCCCTCTCACTCCATCCTTCCTTCCTCCCCAACCTCATTTACTTTTCTCAAGAAGAGGGGGCTGTTGTGCTGGGGAGGAAGATGGAGTCTCTGATCTTGGGCTAAAGGATTTGGAGTGTGGAGGAACTCTGAGTTGAGACTGGGGCAGGAAGTTGAGATGCAGGAATGGTGTTCAAGGTGCAGGCTCTGAGAGGGAATTTGGGTGCAGGGGTTTGGGGTGCAGGAGGGGTTCAGGACTGGGGCCGGGGTTTGGAATCCGGGCTCCAGCTGGGCTCCGCTTAACAAAGGTGGCATCTGGATTATGGTGCAGGGGACTAAGACAGCCCCGGGGTGGGGGTGGAGGTGTGAGAGGCAGCTCCAAGGCAAAAGGCAGGAGCAGCACAGCAGTGCTGAGAGAAGCAGATGAGGTGCTGGCACTTGATAGCCTTCTGGCCAAACCAGTCAGGGTCATCTGTCAAAGGCTCCAAGATCTACCAGTAGATCCTGAACTAGTGGTTGGTGCCCCATGAGTTAGAGGATCTGCTGCCACGCAGTTGGCTTCCTCCATCTCTCTGCTCACAAAACCCCACAGGCCCTGCGTTCATGGACATCCCCACCCTCTAGTAGAAAGCAGATCAGGGCACAGAAAATTGGATAGTCTGTATGCACATCTGGAGAAACTGAGGCTTCCGGAAGGAAAAAACATTTGGCAAAGGTCACACAGGAAGTCCGTGGCAGAGCTGAGGATGGAACCCAGGAGTCCTGATTCCCCAAACCACTTTCACCACTAGGCATACTCCCTTCCTCAAGCTCCAGCTAGAATGCAGGGTAAGCCTTTGTGCCATACAGCTGGGATGAGCGCACCACCTTTCTACCCCATAATCAGCAATTGACCCCAGGTGTCCTCACTCTCCCTCCCCCCCGGCTCTTCTCTGCTCCAGCTCCCAACCCTCACTCTCCTCACAGAGCTCAGAAGGGAACCTGGCATCCTGACTCCCACTTCCCAGGCCACTAGCACTGTTGACTCTTTGGGATGGGCAACATATTGCAAACCTGCTGGGAGTCTCTTCCTGGCATGGTGCCCCCCTGATGCCAAGGGCCGCTCCCCCGTCCTATCAAAAGAAGTTCTGCTGTGTAGAGCTGGGTCTTTCTTTCTCTGTCACAAAGGTTGACGAGTGTGTCACGTACTCCCCATCCTTGACGCAGCCATGCACTGTGTCAGTGCTGGATCTGGGACAGAGAGACCCATCCCAAAAGCCACTGGGGGTAGTGGAAAGAGTCTCAGGGAGTCCAATGGGGTTTGGATCAGCGTGTGGGCATGGGGGAGTAGATCACTAGTGTCATGAATGACCAACCTGGATTCTCCCCGCCCCCCGTAGATATTGATGAATGTTCCCACAACCCATCGCCCTGCGGCCCCAACTCCATCTGCAGCAACACGCTGGGCAATTACACCTGCACGTGCCAGGCAGGCTACCTCTCACCCAGCCAGCCTGGTGCCCCCTTCAACTGCACAGGTAAGCCTCCGACGCGGGTAGGGGGGTGCATGTGGGGCTCAGGATATGAGAGGCCAACGCTGGCTGACCAGGTCACCCTGCAGTCGAGAGCTTCGTTCTGAGCAGCTCAGTTCAGTTCAGGCACGGAGCAGAGTGACGGATGGAAAAGGCCTCTGAGGCTGATGGAAAGATTGCCACTGGATCCAATGGGGTTTGGGTCAGTGTGTGGGGTCTGGTACAGTAGAACACTCTTGTCCTAGTGTCATACATGGCCGGCCTGGATTCTTCCCCAACCAGATATTGAGGAATGTTCCCAAGACCCGTCGCTTTGTGGCCCCAACTCCATCTGCATCAATACACTGGGTAGTTACACCTGCATTTGCCAGCCAGGCTACCTCCCGCCCAGCCAGCCTGGTGCCCCCTTCAACTGCACAGGTAAGTGTCTGATTCAGAGGGTGGGGCTGGGCTCTGGGTGTGAGGCGCTAACGCTGGCTCTCTAGTGGCCCTAGGTGAGAGTAGCTCTGCCTCCCCATGCTCTATTCCTACTCTCTGCAGAGCCCCAGGTGCTACAGCTGGAGCAATAGTTAGAGGATCTGCTGCCACACAATTAACTTCCTCTATCTCTTTGCTAGCAATACCCCACAGCCCTTGTATCCATGGACACCCCCACACTTTAGGAGAAAACAGATCTGGGTAGAGAAAATTGGATAGTCTTTATTTGCATTTAGGGAAACTGAGGCTTCCTTAAGAGAAAACACTTAGCAAAGGTCACATGGGAAGATCGTGGCAGAGCTGAAGTTGGAACCCAGGAGTCCTGATTCCTCAATCCCCTGCTTTCCCCACTAGACATACTCCCCTCCTCAAGCTCCATCTTGAATGCAGGGTGTGACATAGTGGGGGGGCTGTCTGCTCTGTGACCCAGGGTCCCCCTGCGCTCTGATGGGAGATTCTCACTGACTCACCCAAATGTGTATTAACCCAGACACCCAGGCTCAGCCTCCCAGGGAGAGAGACAAAGGAAGGAAGGCGGAGACCAAAACCTGGCTGGGGGGCAGGGCTGGAAGAGAGTTTTTTAGTTTCTGTCTGGAATAATGGAGGAAGCAGCGTGAGCAAGGGGGCTGGGATTTAAGGGCCCAGTCTCCTCCATCTCAAGGGGGCTGAGGTATCACAGGCCTAGCACTGTAACTGGATTACATCGGTGCTGTGCTGTATCCTGGAGAAGCAATAAACTCCCTTTATTCTACCGGCTGGTGGGGTCTGTTCATGCCACTACAGGGGTGCAGGAGATGGGAAACCCCAACGCGCCGTCACACAGGGAAGCTTGTGCACCATCCAGCTAGCACAAACACACCACCTTCCTACCTCACAACCAGCAATCAACCTCGGGTGTCCTCACTCTCCCTGCCTCCTCCCCGGCTCCTCTTTGCTCCAGCTCCCAACCCTCACTCTCCTCACAGAGCTAAGATGGGAACCGAGGCGTCCTGACTCCCACTTCACAGGCCACTAGCATTGTGGCCTGTTGGGGATGGGCAACATATTGCAAACCTGCTAGGAGCCTATTCCTGCTCCCCCCTCCTATCAAAGGCAAGTTCTGCTGTGTAGAGCTGGGTCTTTCTTTCTCTGTCACAAATGTTGACGAGTGTGTCATGGACACCCCATCCTTGACGCAGCCGTGCACTGTGTCAGTGCTGGATCTGGCACAGAGAGACCCATCCCAAAAGCCACTGGGGGTAGTGGAAAGAGTCTCAGGGAGTCCAATGGGGTTTGGATCAGCGTGTGGGCATGGGGGAGTAGATCACTGGTGTACTACTGTCATGAATGACCCACCTGGATTCTCCCTGCCCCCGCGTAGATATTGATGAATGTTCCCGCGACCCATCACCCTGCGGCCTCAACTCCATCTGCAGCAACACGCTGGGCAGTTACACCTGCAGGTGCCGGGCAGGCTACCTCTCGCCCAGCCAGCCTGGTGCCCCCTTCAACTGCACAGGTAAGCCTTCGACGCGGGTTGGGGGGGTGCATGTGGGGCTCAGGGTATGAGAGGCCTACGCTGGCTGACCAGGTCACCCTGCAGTCGAGAGCTTCGCTCTGAGCAGCTCTATTGGCCCACCCCAGATTCTTTCTCTCCAAAGCCTGGACAGCTGCAGATATTTCATGAGGATGGTACCAGGGGCTCCTTCCTACCCACACCGAATAGCTACAGGATCAGCTGCTATGCATCTCCCTTCCTCCGGCCCTCTGCTCCTGAAACCCCACAGCCCTCTTGGCCATGGGGGCTCGAATCCTCTGGTGGAGCCGCATTCCCTACCGTAGAGTCAGAGCAGACACTAGACTGGTGTAATTAGACTCTGAACTCCATGGCCAGGGCCTGGCACGGCCTCCCTGTGCCCATGTGTAACACCCTGTGGGTGGGAATCAAACCCGGGTCCTTCTGGCCTTGTGTTGTGACATGTTTTAAATAAAATGTGTTGGCTTTTTGCTTCACAATGAGGCTTCATTGGGAAATTTAGTTCAGATTTAATTAAAAAACCCATCCACATGCAAACCAGCCGCAACCAAAAAGAAATAGGAAACTGGAACTTCACTCTGCGATGACGGCTCTATCCCTGATGAATGGTTTGGTGTGTGTGTTTCAGTGAGAAAAGTCCCAAAAATTCCACCTTGAGTTTCCTAGGGACAATTTGATGTCCAAGACTCCAAACCCTCTGTCCCTATTGTGTGAGCTAAAGGGCCGAGTCTGTTACTGGGAGGCACCTTCAGACTAAAAACCTCTGTGCCTGGATCAGACTTCTGGGTCCAGCCCTAGGAAGGCACATGGGTGTGTCACTGTGTGGATGTGACATGAGGGGAAATGTGCAGGGCAGCTGGGAGGTGCGAGTCCCAGCTCAAGCAGACACACACCCCCTAGCAGGGTGGAGCATTCACAGGGACCAGGCAATGGATGGGCCAGTGCCCTTGAGTTGCCCTATCCCAGATCCCAGGTGTGGGCGCTGCTTTGTAGCCCTGACAAAGCTGGTCAGTGTTTGTCTGTCCAGGTGGAGAATCGATGTTGTAGTTGCAGTGACCACAGGACCCCAGGCTGAAATAAGGCAGTCACAGACCCCTGTGGTGCTGTGTGAATGGACACCATCCACTGAGGTGTGCTGAGTGACAGCTGAACAGCCACCGCTCCCATTGGTTGCAGGGGGAGCTGGCGGGGCTCCATCACTCACGGTGTGGTCCTATAATAATAGGAAAGCAGATCTCCCCATCATCCCTACCCACCAGGAAGGTTTGGATCAGTGTGAGGGACCTGGGGCAGTAGGTCACTGGTGTCATAGCATCACGCATGGCCAACCTGGATTCTTCTTCTAATGGTGTCCCCATGGGTGCTCCACTCCTCACGCTGGCGACCGGAGACTTTTCTAGCAGTTTCCACCACACCGCACACGTGCTGTAGCACCCCCTTGTGCTGTTGAAATCCGTTAGGCACTCTCCCGGCTCGGCTCCTCAGTCCCTTTTCTACCATCCTCAGCAGCAGACAGAGCCTTTCAATCTTTGTCAAAGAAAACCATGAAAAACCCAGTTACTCCCATTAGTTATGTAAGTATCCAAGTCATCTACCCCACCAACCCTCCACAATCTAAAGTTTAAAAAAAAAAGTTTTTCCTTGCGGCTTGCCATTCTTCCCCCACGCCTCATGCCGGGATCTCCCAACTTTAAAAGGTGCCAGACGTGCCGGGATACTATGCCCATTTCTGACGAGCATTTTAAGTGTATAAAGTGCCCGTTGGAGTCACACCAGACACAAAAGTGCCCCCACTGCTTGAAACTCACAGCCAGAGCGCGCCGGGATTGAGCGAACAGACTGAAAACTCTCCTCTACGAGAAGTCACTTTGACCACCGTCAGAGGACTCACCACTGGCTCCAAAGTGGGCCTCCCAGAGCAAAGGTATGGATAAATCTCATCCCTCTGCCCTCTCTGGCCTTATGGCAGTGAAAACGGGTCTGTCTCCTGCCTATTTCCTACCCTCGGCACCAACGACCACCACAGATAGGCTCAGCATGTCAGGAACGCCACTGTCCAAGAGGACGGCACCGCACAGGAGAGCCCACTCAGAGCTGAAACAGAGACCATGGGCACCTCATGCACCAATGGCACTGCCTTCACCAACAGCACCGGCTGCACAGGCGGGCCGACATACAGATCGCACAGCACCAAGGCAACAGGCTCAAACAGCACCAACGTCCATGCCAAAGAAGCCCTGCACCAATATGCCTCCACTGGATCACTCAGCACTGGGGCCGCCATCGGCACCAAGTAAGCCACACACCTCAGCACCGTCTCAGGAACATGCATGCTATCGATCCCCAGTATGGATCCTCACGCCAACGGCACTGATCTCACTGGGATCCTCTATCCAGTCAGTGCACTCGCGTAGATAATGAAATATCTCACGATCTCCGAGCGATGTGGGCATGGAACCAAGGAGTATATTTTCTTCCCAACACTCCAGTCCTGCTCACAGACCTCCCTCTTGGCAACCAGGCTCCGTGGCATACACATACCCTCCTCCTCCACCACCATGGTATGCACAACAGTATGGCTAACCACCACTACCTATACCACTCAAAGGCAGCTGTGGGATCCACGACCTAAGAAGAGCCACCATTGTGTCCCCTCCACCATCTCCAGACCACCACCAGCTTCTCCGCCAATTACCACTTTGGTAACTGAGCCACAGTACAGCCTCCCACTACCTCCCGAATAGCATTCCCCGTGTACGAAGCTATTATGGACCCAGCGGAAAATATCTGGCAGAATCCTGCGTCCATTACCACAACTAACAAAAGGGCAGACCTCAAGTACTTCATTGCACCAAAAGGAATGGATTTCCTCTTCACCCATCCCCCACCAAACTCATTAGTGGTGGACTCTGTTCGACATAAGGAAAGACTATCTAACCTCAGGACCACTCCACAAGACAAAGACCATAAAAGAGTTGACATAGTGGGTCGTAAAGTCTATTCCTCCGCCACCCTGCTCCTTCGAGCAGCAAACTACATGGTGATGTTCACAGACTATGATTACATCAACTATTCTAAACTGCAAGACCTAATTTAGCACTTACCAGAACACAAGAGGCCAACTCTCCTTAGCATCCTGCAGAAAGGCCATACCGTTTCCCATATAGCCCTACAGTCCGCAAACACACTGGCCCATATAATAGCATCTACCATTGTATTGCGCAGAATTTCATGGCTGCAGGCATCTGGAGTCATAAGAGATCTATAGCAGAAGGTCAGAGATCTGTCCTTTGACAAGACCAACCTCTTTGCTGCTAAGACAGACGAAGTATTATATTCCATGAAGTACTCCCGCACCACTCTCAGGACCCTGGAAATGTACACTTCCCCCTTTAAGAGAACCAGGTACTCAACCTACCAGAGACCCAGGGAGCCATACAGGCAACAACCCAGATATAATTTCCGCCAAAAGGAAAGGCCACAATGTCGCAAACCCCCATGCCCACAGCAACAATACTGCTCTACGACCCATCCATCCATAGCCAAACAACAAATTTGAAAAATACGTAAAGAGCCAGAAAACCACCCCAATGACGCTCGTGACCAGTCAGTCTCAGTTCAGCCATCGTCTCCAAGCTTTTTTCAATCAATAAACCCAAATCATATCAGACAAATGGATCCTAGAACTTATCCAATATGGTTATGCCATCCCCTTCACCTCCTTGCCTCCCACCCACCCTCCCAACCCGTCCCTCTTCAGGGATCCATTTCATGAAAACCTTCTCCATCAAGAAGTCTCTCACCTACTAAAATTAGGTGCCATAGAACAGGTCCCATCAGAATTCCACAGTCGGGGCTTTTACTCAACCTACTTCATATCCCAGAAAAAGACTGGAGGATGGCGACCTATATTGTATTTGAGGAGACTCAACAAATACATTGCTTACCACCGCTTCAAGATGGTAACCCTAGCAACAGTTATTCTCACAATGGATCAAGGGGACTGGCTTTTGGCTCTCTACCTCCATGATGCCTACTTACAACCGTTAGTTCGAATTAACTTTAATAGGCGCTACACATGCAAACCGCTAGTTCAAACTTAATTCGAACTAGCGGAGTGCTTAATTCAAACTAGGTAAAGCTCATTCTATGAGGACTAACACCTAGTTCGAATTAAGTAGTTCGAATTAAGGGCTGTGTAGCCACTTAAGTCGAACTAGTGGGAGGCTAGCCCTCCCCAGCTTGCCCTGGTGGCCACTCTGGGCACAACCAGGAAAACTCTTCTGCCCCCCTTCCGGTCCCGGAACCCTTAAAGGGGCACGGTCTGGCTACAGTGTTTGTGCCAGTTGCAAGCCTGCCAGTACCCAGCCAGCAGACCCTGCACCTGGCACATGATGAGTCAGCCACCCGCTGCCACCCAGCCCTCTGCCTCTTCCCAGGACCAGGCTGGCAGTTCACACGAGCCTGGCCGGGGCTGCAAGAGGCAGGCGCCTGCCTGATCAAGTGCAGAGATCGTGGACCTCATCGAGGTTTGGGGGGAGGCCTCCAACGTCCATGATCTCCACATTAGCCACAGGAACGCGGCCGTCTACAGCCACATGGCTGCCCGCCCGGCCGCCAGAGACCACAAGCGGACC